AAGAAAAAAAAAAAAGAAATCATGCGTATCATTAGTACTCCCAGTAAAAGAAAAGCAACCAAATATATGTGGGAGGTGGTATACGCCGATAAGGCGGAGGAGAGCGATGCCGGCGAAGTCTTCCTCCTTGAGCAGCTTGCTCAGGCGGGGATCGGCGCTCGCGCCGCGGCGGTGGCGGCGGAAGTGGGGACGGTGACGGTGGAGCCGCTGCCGGAGCTTATGAATCCTGGAGGCGGAACCGGCCGTTGACTCATCGGGCTTTTCCTGCTTTGAGCTTCGGTGGCCCATTTTCGCGGCCCGCTCGGGTCTGTGCTCACTCTACAGGACACGGAGAACAACAGTCAATCACTGAATCACAGACTAGAAACTGTATGTGCTTGTTGGTAACGTTCTCAGTCAATCACTCACTCAATTGGATATAAAGTGGTGGTGGGGGCCACGCGGAAGGAAGATTTTATTGAGCTAGAAAAGTTCAAAGAAAGGGAGAGGATTTTTTTTGTCTTTGCAAATTGCAAGACAAAAATTGTAACCTTTAGATGCAGGAAATAATTTTTTAGATGCAGGAAATAATTTTAAGGAAATGCTAAGTTTCCGTTACGGTATTATTCCGTCGGAGTTTGTAACTGTGAGATCAACATGTAACTGTTAAAGATAATTGATCTAACACTTACAAACCCGACGGAATGGCTCTGTAACGGAACCGTAGCAAATTCCATAATTTTAACCTTTAAAATATGATTTCACTTTGCGTTTTTTTTTTTTCTCGAGTAGAAAATTTCAGAGTCAAATGGTTTTGCTTTATAACAAGTTTTGGGAAGGATATCGTGTCATCCCGTTACATATGGTTTCGTCGGTATTTTCAACTTATAGATTATTTACACATCACTAATCTACATGTGTATTCACAGTTAAAAACACCGACGGAAGCATACTGTGACGGGAATGTAAAAACCAACGGAACTAACGAGACTAGTAGCATTCTCATTAATTTTATAAATTATTTATGGCTCCATCCATTAATAATAAAACCTTAACCACAAAAATCCAATATGACATTTAATTTATTAGGGGAATCGCGAGAACCATTAGTAATGAATCAATCGTTAGCGAGTTATATTAGTTGAAATAAAATCCAACATAGTTTTAATATTATAGAATCTCAAAAGTCATGTAATTTGTGGTGAAATGTGTGATGTTACTAAAAAGTGAAATATGAATTTAATCAATTATGCGTTGTTAAATAAAATTATTACAACCCACCTTAAAAAAAAACAATTCTTGATCCACCGGGGTAGTAAGCCTAAGCACAAACTGAACAGGGACAGTACAATCAAGAAAAGGTAGAGTTTAAAAATAAATACTAACCAGACAGAACTAGATCAATCTTCTATTATCCACACATGGCGGAACAACACAAAAGATTGATCCTAACAAACAAAACATACAAATGAAGCTAAATCAAAGGATATGCAAACAACACATAAAACGTAAACTTAAAAGTCAAAGTCCTCTCCTACTACCAACAAGCACGACGCGCTAAACCAAGAAGTATTGAATCCCCCCCCCCCCNNNNAATCAACAAAGAGAAATAGAACTATTCTTTAAGAGTTGGAGTTCCTAAATCCAAGATTCTTGCTTCTCTAGTTTGATTTCTTTTTGTTGTGAGTTCGGGGGGCATAGGGTTGGGGGGAGGGCAGTGACAGAAACTAGATCAATAACCATAATCAATATTTACTCACTAATTAAATATCTAAGCTTGACGATACATTTTGGGTACTTACCACGCGCAGTTAATAGTTTTTTAGTCTAGCTAGTCACAAATCACCCCCCAAAACCTTGTACAATGAATGAAATAACATAAAATGAATGTTATGTTGAAAATGAGAATTATAACATAATTTAATAAATCACATACACAGAGGTTGAGATAGTAGCCGAAACCGCGATGAAAGAGGTGGGGAACCTCCGGAGCTTACGCATTATTGACGACAGCCTAGTGTTGGAAGCTTCCGATGACTTGGCTCGAGTTTCATGCTTCGAAGTTTCATGCTCCAATTTTTTTGTCCTGGTTTGGACACATTCTATTGAAACAACATTTAACAGGGAAATATAGAGAAAACGAGTCAATAATTTGTCATTCTCAACATATATGTTTGTTTGTTTGTTTGTTTTTTTTAGAGCGATATGAATAACATAAAAAAAACCGAAACCACAAAACACCCGAAATGACCTAGTTCTAAAACATACAAATTGGGAGGACACGCCAATAAGTGGCCTAGATAATAACCAACCAAATAATTAAGAACTAAGGTTCTATAACACAGAAAACTTTAATTCACCACCCAACCCAAAGACACACAAGCAAGATACCGAGCTACCAACAAACAAACAGAAAAACGGACAAAATACACCCAAGAAAACCAAGGAAACTGGACCAACTACACTGAAATACTAAGCTTGCAAATTCTAAAAATCTAACAACTCCTTTAAAGCTTCCTTGATCACGACCTTCTCTGGCACCCACACTTCTTTGCCGATTGCGTTTTTCCAAAACCACCAAAGCAGATAGGTGGTCAACTGAATTCTGTCCTCCAAGGATAAAAAAACTTGCAAATCATTTGCTCTCTCGGACTACAAAGTATATACTTTGTCTCCTCCATCTAAGAAAATACATACAATAACTTTTAAATAAAAAATATAAAAAAAAAAAAATTACTTTTTAAATGTTTGGGAAGTCAGTAGATTAAAATAAGTAAAAGTAGTAAATTTGTGGGATTATAAAAATATTATGATAAACCGGTTCCCCATAGCTCAAGCTAGGATAACATATGCCTTTCCCGTTTCAAGGCAATGAGACATATTTTATCAGCCAATTGGCCCAAATCTTCATGGTATATTTATTAGAAAACATGAGTGTTGGAAATTTGGTATCAAAATTACACGGGAATCCTACGAACTGATATGTATTTTCAGTTCTTACAAATAATCTAAAATTAGAAAATTACAATTGAACTGGAAAATAAAATATAACTGAAAAACGGAAAGATTTTAGCCGAGGCGAGTAAAACTCTTTCCGCAAGAAGAATACGCCCCGTGTGTCAGCTAACGGTTCTGGCGTAACTTTCCCAAAGATACAACGGCAAACGTCTCTAAATCCGTAGCACACCAGATTTACGAGCTCCGGCGAACGGGAACGGAGTCGAGAATTGAGCACTTAAAAATAAAAGAAATATCTTAAAACAAATAAAAATATCACTTGTTTTTTTCTTTTGATATTTTTATATCCGTTATTTGGACATAAATCTATCTTTTCTTTCCTTTCTCTTTTCCTTTCTATCCTCTCTTTGGTGCGTCTTTATTCGTTCTGGCCGAGGGCCTATTTATAGTGTAGAAGAGTTGCATCAATTTGTGCAAATTGCAATTCAACTAGCAATTGTTTAACATTTTTTTTTTTTTTAAATAATGACATATGGGGGGCGGTGCATGTGGGGCGGCACCGCCCCAATTAGATCTAATCTCTGACAATCCCCCACAAAAGAGAAAGTAAAGAAATACACATATATACAAACTCTTGTGCTCAACTCTCACAAAACTCTATTGCATCAGAAAAGGTAGCTTTTGGCTTTGAACCTTTCTTAGTAAACATCATCGGATGCACTGGCGGCCTAGTGGACAAAATGTCTTGAACTATTCCTCCACAGTGTACACCAAGACAATGACATTCACACAATAGAGTCTTAACTCCATTCCGTTCTATCATTGTGTCCGTTTTGGCCATGGACAACACAATGGATTCATAAGTGTTTACATTTGAAGCGGCCTACACTTCACACTTATATAGGTGACCTCCCTATTAGGAGTATCCTGCCATACTCCACCTTTACAAGGTTAGGGATTCATTAAAAGTCCATATGACTTACCCTCACCACAATCAACAGGTTATCTTGCACTTGGAGTGCTCTAGGGAATAGCTTTGGACATTCATATGTTCCAAGTGCTCAACTGAATTTTCATAGCTTAGTTTTCCCTTTGAACCAAGTTCGTGGGATCTCCACTCAGCATGGTAGGGTTACCACTATGATCATTCTTTACATTGTGGATTTTTAAGCCCATTCCCTCTAGCAAAACTGTCAATTGATCTCTATTCGATCCTTTCGTCAAAGGATCAACCAAATTTTCCTTAGACTTCACATAGTCAATGGAAATAATACCATTTGTAATCAATTGACGTACGGTATTATGTCTACGACGGATATGTC